AAGTAAATGCGAGGGTCTTGGCAAGAGGCGTGGAGTTAAAAGATAAAGAATCACACACAAAGTGGGAGTTGTCACAGTTGCTCTTTGCTGATGACACTGTGCTCTTGGGAGATTCTGAAGAGAAGTTGCAGAGATTGGTGGATGAATTTGGTAGGGTGTGCAAAAGAAGAAAATTAAAGGTGAATACAGGAAAGAGTAAGGTTATGAGGATAACAAAAAGATTAGGTGATGAAAGATTGAATATCAGATTGGAGGGAGAGAGTATGGAGGAGGTGAACGTATTCAGATATTTGGGAGTGGACGTGTCAGCAGATGGGTCTATGAAAGATGAGGTGAATCATAGAATTGATGAGGGAAAAAGAGTGAGTGGTGCACTTAGGAGTCTGTGGAGACAGAGAACTTTGTCCTTGGAGGCAAAGAGGAGAATGTATGAGAGTATAGTTTTACCAGTGTGAAGTGTGGGTGATGAATGTTGCAGCGAGGAGAAGGCTGGAGGCAGTGGAGATGTCATGTCTGAGGGCAATGTGTGGTGTGAATATAATGCAGAGAATTCGTAGTTTGGAAGTTAGGAGGAGGTGCGGGATTACTAAAACTGTTGTCCAGAGGGCTGAGGAAGGGTTGTTGAGGTGGTTCTGACATGTAGAGAGAATGGAGCGAAACAGAATGACTTCAAGAGTGTATCAGTCTGTAGTGGAAGGAAGGCGGGGTAGGGGTCGGCCTAGGAGAGGTTGGAGAGAGGGGGTAAAGGAGGTTTTGTGTGCGAGGGGCTTGGACTTCCAGCAGGAATGCGTGAGCGTGTTTGATAGGAGTGAATGGAGACAAATGGTTTTTAATACTTGACGTGCTGTTGGAGTGTGAGCAAAGTAACATTTATGAAGGGATTCAGGGAAACCGGCAGGCCGGACTTGAGTCCTGGAGATGGGAAGTACAGTGCCTGCACTCTGAAGGAGGGGTGTTAATGTTGCAGTTTAAAAACTGTAGTGTAAAGCACCCTTCTGGCAAGACAGTGATGGATGTGAATGATGGTGAAAGTTTTTCTTTTTCGGGCCACTCTGCCTTGGTGGGAATCGGCCAGTGTGATAATATATATATATATATATATATATATATATATATATATATATATATATATATATATATATATATATATATATATATATATATATATATATATATATATATATATTATAGAAGAATAAGTTTACAGAGTATACCAGGAAAAGTGTACGGTAGGGGGGTTATTATTGAAAGAATTTAGAGGCAAGACAGAATGTAGTAGTGAAGTAGTTAGTAAGAGGTCGTGACAGTGATAGACTATAATAATAATAATAATAATAATAATAATAATAATAATAATAGTAGTAGTAAATACTAGCAAAGGATATTTATTGAGATACCGCTAGTTATAATTTAATATTAAAATACAATTTTCTGAAAACACTTTCATCTCACCTTCCCTCAAACCTTTTTTTTTTTTTTTTACCCTTCAGGGTGGCGTACCATGATGCTAGTGAAGAGTTTTTAATCCGAGGACTCTGAGCCACCTTCATTTTACTGTCCAACTTGATTACCTTGTATTCCTGAGACTCTATAAGACTGATAGCGGGTCAGAATTTCTTCAGGAATATAATGATAATAATATGACCTCATAATTATTTATCCTTCAGCGTCGAAATTTTGTCACTTGATTCCTTCACGTGAGGCGACGTCCTCGACACTGTCAGGAAGAAGTTGAGTCAGGAAGAACTTGAGTCAGGAAGAAGTTGAGTCAGGAAGAAGTTGAGTCAGGAAGAAGTTGAGTCAGGAAGAAGTTGAGTCAGGAAGAAGTTGAGTCAGGAAGAAGTTGAGTCAGGAAAACTTGGGTCAGGAAGAACTTGGGTCAGGAAGAAGTTGAGTCAGGAAGAAGTTGAGTCAGGAAGAAGTTGAGTCAGGAAGAAGTTGAGTCAGGAAGAAGTTGAGTCAGGAAGAACTTGAGTCAGGAAGAAGTTGAGTCAGGAAGAAGTTGAGTCAGGAAAAACTTGGGTCAGGAAGAACTTGGGCCAGGAAGAACTTGGGTCAGGAAGAATTTGAGTCAAGAAGAACTCGAGTCAGGAAGAACTTGAGTCAGGAAGAACTTGAGTCAGGAAGAAGTTGAGTCAGGAAGAACTTGAGTCAAGAAGAACTTGAGTCAGGAAGAAGTTGAGTCATGAAAAAGTTGAGTCAGGAAGAACTTGGGTCAGGAAGAAGTTGAGTCAGGAAGAAGTTGAGTCAGGAAGAAGTTGAGTCAAGAAGAACTTGGGTCAGGAAGAAGTTGAGTCAGGAAGAAGTTGAGTCAGGAAGAACTTGAGTCAGGAAGAACTTGGGTCAGGAAGAAGTTGAGTCAGGAAGAAGTTGAGTCAGGAAGAAGTTGAGTCAGGAAGAACTTGAGTCAAGAAGAACTTGAGTCAGGAAGAAGTTGAGTCAAGAAGAACTTGAGTCAGGAAGAAGTTGAGTCATGAAGAAGTTGAGTCAGGAAGAAGTTGAGTCAGGAAGAACTTGAGTCAAGAAGAACTTGAGTCAGGAAGAAGTTGAGTCATGAAGAAGTTGAGTCAGGAAGAACTTGGGTCAGGAAGAACTTGAGTCAAGAAGAACTTGAGTCAGGAAGAAGTTGAGTCAGGAAGAAGTTGAGTCAGGAAGAACTTGAGTCAGGAAGAAGTTGAGTCAGGAAGAACTTGAGTCAAGAAGAACTTGAGTCAGGAAGAAGTTGAGTCATGAAGAAGTTGATTCAGGAAGAAGTTGAGTCAGGAAGAACTTGAGTCAAGAAGAACTTGAGTCAGGAAGAAGTTGAGTCAGGAAGAAGTTGAGTCAGGAAGAAGTTGAGTCAGGAAGAACTTGAGTCAAGAAGAACTTGAGTCAGGAAGAACTTGAGTCAGGAAGAAGTTGAGTCAGGAAGAACTTGGTCAGGAAGAACTTGAGTCAGGAAGAACTTGCGTCAGGAAGAACTTGCGTCAGGAAGAACTTGGGTCAGGAAGAACTTGAGTCAGGAAGAACTTGAGTCAGGAAGAACTTGAGTCAGGAAGAACTTGAGTCAGGAAGAACTTGGTCAGGAAGAACTTGAGTCAGGAAGAACTTGCGTCAGGAAGAACTTGAGTCAGGAAGAACTTGGGTCAGGAAGAAGTTGAGTCAGGAAGAACTTGGGTCAGGAAGAAGTTGAGTCAGGAATAACTTGAGTCAGGAAGAACTTGGGTCAGGAAGAAGTTGAGTCAGGAAGAACTTGGGTCAGGAAGAAGTTGAGTCAGGAAGAACTTGGGTCAGGAAGAAGTTGAGTCAGGAAGAACTTGCGTCAGGAAGAACTTGAGTCAGGAAGAACTTGGGTCAGGAAGAACTTGAGTCAGGAAGAACTTGCGTCAGGAAGAACTTGAGTCAGGAAGAACTTGGGTCAGGAAGAAGTTGAGTCAGGAAGAACTTGGGTCAGGAAGAACTTGAGTCAGGAAGAACTTGGGTCAGGAAGAACTTGAGTCAGGAAGAACTTGGGTCAGGAATAACTTGAGTCAGGAAGAACTTGGGTCAGGAAGAACTTGGGTCAGGAAGAAGTTGAGTCAGGAAGAACTCGGGTCAGGAAGAACTTGAGTCAGGAAGAACTTGGGTCAGGAAGAACTTGAGTCAGGAGAACTTGGGTCAGGAAAAACTTGAGTTAGGATAACTTGGGTCAGGAAGAACTTGAGTCAGGAAGAAGTTGAGTCAGGAAGAACTTGGGTCAGGAAGAACTTGAGTCAGGAAGAACTTGGGTCAGGAAGAACTTGAGTCAGGAAAAAGTTGAGTCAGGAAGAACTTGGGTCAGGAAGAACTTGAGTCAGGAAGAACTTGAGTCAGGGAGAACTTGGTTCAGGAAGAACTTGGGCCAGGAAGAACTTGAGTCAGGCAGAACTTGGGTGAAGTAGAACTTGAGTCAGGAAGAAGTTGAGTCAGGAAGAAGTTGAGTCAGGAAGAACTTGAGTCAGGAAGAACTTGGGTCAGGAAGAACTTGGGTCAGGAAGAACTTGAGTCAGGAAGAACTTGAGTCAGGAAGAACTTGAGTCAGGAAGAATTTGAGTCAGGAAGAACTTGAGTCAGGAAGAAGTTGAGTCAGGAAGAACTTGGGTCAGGAAGAACTTGAGTCAGGAAGAACTTGGGTCAGGAAGAACTTGAGTTAGGAAGAACTTGGGTCAGGAAGAACTTGGGTCAGGAAGAAGTCGAGTGAGGAAGAACTTGAGTCAGGAAGAATTTGAGTCAGGAAGAACTTGAGTCAGGAAGAACTTGAGTCAGGAAGAACTTGAGTCAGGAAGAACTTGGGTCAAGAAGAACTTGAGTCAGGAAGAACTTGAGTCAGGAAGAACTTGAGTCAGGAAGAACTTGAGTCAGGAAGAACTTGGGTCAGGAAGAACTTGAGTCAGGAAGAACTTGGGTCAGGAAGAACTTGGGTCAGGAAGAACTTGGATCAGGACGAACTTGAGTCAGGAAGAACTTGGGTCAGGAAGAACTTGAGTCAGGAAGAACTTGGGTCAGGAAGAACTTGGGTCAGGAAGAACTTGGGTCAGGAAGAACTTGAGCCAGGAAGAACTTGAGTCAGGAAGAAGTTGAGTCAGGAACAACTTGAGTCAAGAAGAACTTGGGTCAGGAAGAACTTGAGTCAAGAAGAACTTGGGTCAGGAAGAACTTGAGTCAGGAAGAAGTTGAGTCAGGAAGAACTTGGCTCAGGAAGAACTTGAGTCAGGAAGAACTTGAGTCAGGAAGAACTTGAGTCAGGAAGAACTTGAGTCAGGAAGAACTTGAGTCAGGAAGAACTTGAGTCAGGAAGAACTTGAGTCAGGAAGAACTTGAGTCAGGAAGAACTTGAGTCAGGAAGAACTTGAGTCAGGAAGAACTTGAGTCAGGAAGAACTTGGGTCAGGAAGAACTTGGGTCAGGAAGAACTTGGATCAGGACGAACTTGAGTCAGGAAGAACTTGGGTCAGGAAGAACTTGAGTCAGGAAGAACTTGGGTCAGGAAGAACTTGGGTCAGAAAGAACTTGAGTCAGGAAGAACTTGAGTCAGGAAGAACTTGGTTCAGGAAGAACTTGAGTTAGGAAGAACTTGGGTCAGGAAGAACTTGAGTCAGGAAGAACTTAAGTCAGGAAGAACTTGAGTTAAGAAGAATTTGAGTTACGATGGCTTGACACAGCTGGTGGTCCCTGTGGTCTCCCCAGCCACCATTGGGTTTATTTTCCGTGATAAAGTTTACTTCGAGGCCAGACACTTCAAATGATGCAGGGAACAGCCATTGGGCAATCGCGTAATAATAATTGACTTTTGATTCGACTTCAGATCTAACACTGCAACTCTTCGTTTGAATATGGGTTCCACTATGGGTAGAAATCAGATTATGTAGTTAAAACGTGTAGCGTTGTACATAAAGATGGTTTTGTGATTGATGTACACAGTTATTCAAGACAATAAAATTTAATAAACATTGAACATGGTAACTTTGTTAAACTTTTATAACTAGGAAGTGAGAGAGCGAAGCGTTCAGGTTAAAATATGCTCAGACAGTATGTCACAAAATTCTTGTATATATTTATTTACCAGTTGCCAACGTGGACGACTCTGGAAAGAGAGAGAGCCAACATGGCCAGCCTGGGCTTGCAACAGTTCTGTACCAACCGCAGCAGCGTCCAGTCCCAGTTGTAGTCGTCGAAGGTGCAGAAAAGGTGGCTGCAGGCTTTTATGAGTTTCCATGTGTCTTTATTGAAGGAGTAGCCTAGGTTATGTTTTGTCACATGCCACACTCCAGTCTTAACCTGTAGGGTAAGAAAAGCAGTTTCAAGATTTACAGAACGTTGGGACTCTCAAAGTCATTTAGCACTTTTGCCATTAAAAAGGTATGTGCACACACACTACCCCGACACAAAGCTAAAAACAATCTCTAAATTAAAATAATTCACATTAATAAGCACATGATACAATAAATATTTTTACACTAAGATGAAACATCAAACACGTTGGGGCTCTGTAGCACATAGTGTAATTTCCTTCACTGAAGGTGAGACATACTGATCCATAATACTGTACTTGATTGAGCTTATCTAAAAGGATTTGAGGAAAAATGTAAGACCTAGTCGCTAAAGATGTACTACTTTAAAAAAAAAATGTTCTCAATCATATATTTTAATGGTTTCTTCTTCAGTTTTTTGTTGTTAATATTTTATTTCCTTTCTCAAAAGTGAGTGGAGCCAGGTGGTCATTCCTCACCTGCAACACCCTTCACACTGCTTTAACGAAGACAAAACAAGGTTGCCTCTGTAGTCTACTGGTCTCAGACCGAGCCGCGGGGGCGTTGACCCCGAAACCCTCTCCAGGTAAACTCCAGGTACTTAACCACTTTGCTACCATTGTCTGTCACTTTCGCCACGATTAGCAGAAAGTTTCCTTTGATAAATGTCCTCAGCTGGACGTAAGTGTCGGTATCACCATAGAGTTTAAACCATTTGCCGGGCACAGTATGTACTAACTAGTACTCAAGGTGCTGGAAGATTTAGCCCACACTTTAAGAAGAGTCATCTATGCTCATTTTCCATGGAAAACATTCAAGATATCAGTAAAACCTTCGGACTTTTGCTCTAGTCAGTTTGTCACGGATTCTTGCGATTTTCCTCTACTACGATAGATCAATAATAATATACATCAAAATTTTGTGGAAATACTCTTTTAAAATAAAGCTGCCAATCCTCAAACTGAATAGATATGAAAGTTAAAGTTAAGAGCAAATATGGAGTCAACTCATCACTACCTCCACTAGTAACAGACAAATATGGAGTCAACTCACCACTACCTCCACTGGTAGCAGACAAATATGGAGTCAACTCACCACTACCTCCACTAGTAACAGACAAATATGGAGTCAACTCACCACTACCTCCACTGGTAGCAGACAAATATGGAGTCAACTCATCACTACCTCCACTAGTAACAGACAAATATGGAGTCAACTCATCACTACCTCCACTAGTAACAGACAAATATGGAGTCAACTCATCACTACCTCCACTAGTAACAGACAAATATGGAGTCAACTCACCACTACCTACACTGGTAGCAGACAAATATGGAGTCAACTCACCTCTACCTCCACTGGTAGCAGACAAATATGGAGTCAACTCACCACTACCTACTCTGGTAGCAGACAAATATGGAGTCAACTCACCACTACCTCCACTGGTAACAGACAAAACAAAGCGTGCAAATCAATATTCAGCAAACTGGAATAAAATATTCTATAATAAGAAGATGCAACATCTATAAATAAAAGATTCTATCAATTACGAGTATATTAGTAAGGTTGTTGTTGTTAGGCTATAAGGTCCAGGAAACCTTAACATGGCATCGTTTCACAATGGATTCAATTCCTAAGTTTTTTTTTATACATAGAGATCAGGAAGCATAACCCAAAATGCTATGTAACTGATGAGTTGGCTAAGAATATGCAGGAGGAGGCAGGCAAGACATACGAAGGTTGCAAATGGTATG